GCCTCAATATGTGTATAAAAGGCCGGGCGCGGAGTTCTACGTGCCACCGCTTTTGTAGTTCATTCGGCTCAGAGAATCTACGGTGCAGGTTGTCGTGCGTATGCATGTGCATGTTTTAATCACCCTTCAGGTTTTAATTGTGTTCCATTGCACCTTGAGAATCCATGTGGACGAATTGTTTCCTGTGCTCAGTATATCTAGTTTGGCGTTGAGAAATTAATTTTCTTTCCTTATAACAGCGGATAGCCCGGTGGCTCTCACCATACCAAGTATGCTGATAATATTGTTGTTGGGTATCTTGCCAAAGATGAGAGCGTTCTCGGATCATGTGTCAACGTCACCCTTGGAAAATGGTATTTTACTTACGCCAATATCCACTCTGATGTGTTTTGACTGTGACTACCTCTATTCAGGAAACAGTACATTCCTCTCAATGAAGATGTTGCCCCGTCTTTCAATCCTTCATTCTCGTCTTTTGTCGAGTAAATTTGTAACATTTGTTTATTTGTTTATTACACCAGATATTCACGTTCTTTCGTATAAACTGGAAGGCAGGCATCCCAATAAATTTAATTTCAAAGAAAAGCGTTCATTGGGAAAATGAGGACTTCTTGAAATTCACGGAATTTAATCTGGTGGCTCACAGGATTCTTGCAGTCTTCTTTGTACCCTTAACTGTTATAGTCCATCATTTTTCCGCTGCACTTATTTGATTTATAAGAAAGTCCCATAGTTTCAACTCTAATGTTGGGTTTGCAGGGCTAAGCAACACTGGTTCCTGTTCACCAACGACTGTTTATTACTAGTTGACCCAATTGTGAAAAAACTCGCGGCGTTTGGCGGGATTTGAACCCGCATAGTAGGGAAGGCCCTAACCGGAACCCAATGCTCTACCATTTGTAGCTTAATGGTAGAGCATTGGCTTCCGGTTAAGCCTTCCCTTCTATGCGGGTTCAAATCCCCCCAAATGCCGCAAGTTTTTTCACAATTGGGTCAACTAGAATTAAACAAATCTGCCAAACCCCCTAATAATTACGTCAGCCTAGTAGTCATTCTGGTG